AGAGAGAGAGAGAGAGAGAGAGAGAGAGAGAGAGAGAGAAAGAGAGAAAGAGACTATTTGCGTGTCTGATTACATATGTCTTCCGGGGCGAAGCCCGGGTAACCAGCTAGTTATATATAAATTTATCTTCTACTTAATTAAGCAATCTAATTAATGATGTCTAATTCACACTGTATTTACGTATCTGGGAGGTTCTCTAACATTTTACTATTGTATGGTATTTTTTAACAGAAAATTTAAACGGAGAATACAAAAACTCACAGAAACAAAATAAATTACCAAAATTACGAGAATTACATGTAGCTCTACAAAGGATAGACGAAGTACCAAAGGAACAAACTGTCAAAAAGAATAAACCATTAAGGAAAAATCGCAAAAAAAAAATTTGCAGAGCTTGCTGCTCCACATGTATTGAATAATTATAATAAGGTATTTCTATCATAGCATTCTACAGCTGCAAAATAAAAATAAAGTATATATATATATATATATATATATATGTTCGAGATCCGTCGAACTTTCCTACGCGAAACATCGGCTCGAAAACGTTATTATATTTAACATCGAGAAATACCGATGTTTATGTTGTTCAAGCTCTGTCGAACTTGTGCGAAATATACGTTCCCCGCGATCCCCGCGCCCTCGAAGCCCATCGATCGCGATCACGCATTAAGCCCGTATCACACTAGCGGCTCGCGGCGCGACTGCGATTGCGTCTGCGATTGCGACTGCGATTGCGATTGCGACTGGCTACTGTCCAATCATATTGCAGCTGCCGCGGTGACGCAGTTTACGCTTTTCGTTGATTGGAATTTGTGTGACCTGTCGCAACAGACCGAACAGACCAACGGAAAGCCGGTTGTTACTTTTGTTACATGCCATTACATGCGATAATATGCGGCGTAGCTTTTCTCTCGATACCTTTGCCGATGCCGCCGTGTTGTATCTCCTGAAAGAAGGGCTAACTGAGTAAAGGAATCGTTTTCCTGATCGCCGACATGGAGCTCACCGACGATAATTTGGTAACGTTGAGCGAATATCTGAAACACACACTCTCAGCCCAGACGTGAATGTCAAACGTCCAGGTTGGTATAACCTACAAACTTATTATTTTTGTGATATTTTAAACGTTGTACGCGTGTCGTACGTTAATATCCAATTTATATTTTAGCCGAGAAAGTTTCTGGAGTCGGTGGAAGTCAATCAGAATTATCCTTTACTACTACTTCATTTGGTGGACAAGTCTGAGATTAACATCACGATTAGGATTGTCGGCGCAATTTAAAAGAATTATGTTAAGCACAACTGGAAAGTGGTTGGGTTTTGGGTTTATATTTATTTATTTATTTTAATGTTCTTACATCGTATGTTAGTTTACTATTGCGGAATGTTATTTTAGGAGGAGGATTCAGTGGATCATATACATGCCCAAGACAGAGATGCCGTCAAGAAACTAATCGTTAATCTGATGTTACATTCACCAGATTCGATACAAAAGCAGTTGTCTGATGCAGTATCTATCATTGGAAAATATGACTTTCCGAACAAGTGGCCAGAATTGATTGATCATATGAGTCCCTTGTGAATTTTGTACTCAGATATAATGTATTTAACGATAGTTAAACGCTACAATAAAGATATGTTTTGAGATCTCAATGGTACATATATACTTTTCTGTTAATTTTTTTTTAGTACAATATTACATAAGTACAATATGAAAATAAGCCATAGAAACATTTTATGTATCAAATAAGCGTTCTCTATAAAATAAAATATATGTTCATGTATTGTAACAATTCCTC